AAAAAACTCCAGGTACATTCTGTTAGTTTTATTTTTTAATTTTATATTTTTAAAAATTATTGTGCTAGTTACAAAGAATTTAATTCAATTATCAATATTTCTAAACCACAATATAATAAATATTAACTTTTTAATATCTTTTTCTCTCAGCTATGATCCTATTGTTTTAATGATGCTCCTAGAGGTGGTTGTTGATTTATAATATTGTACACCTAAAATTTATATAATGTTATCTCAATTTAAAAATTGAGGTTTTCATTGAAACTTTAAAGTCACTATTGCAGTCGAATTCCAAATGCTATGGTTAAGAATGTCAGCATTATTCAATTTCTCTAAAAAATGTGAACTTTTCCTCTCTCAAGTCTTCTAGACTCTTTAAGCCTTACTTTTCTGAAATATACTAATGATAGGCTTTTCTATTTAATAGTCCCTATTCTTTAGGGGCAAGTTGGTTTTATTCTTTAGTAATTTTCCCAATAATCACATGTATAAAAAAAACATATAAATGTTTAAAGTTAAAAAATATTGTTACCAAGAGATGGATTGATCACAAAGGCACTGAAGCTTAAATTTTAGGAAACAACATTGGCCCAGCCTCCTTCTAAGTCTGGAAGCAATATGGTTTTTCAACCTTGTCATATATGTCTAAATATTTGAAAAAAATAAAGCTTTTAATTGCATTCATTAAATTCCCTATATGTTCTCTCAAATTTCCCCTTGGTATGTTAAATTGGCTGTGGTCATTTTGGGTATCTGGCCTTAGGAAACTGAATAGTGAATACATTTAATTTAAATAACTGAGTTTAGTAAGTAACAGAGCTAGGTTCACAAGCAGGTGGTGGATCGTAACTCTGACTATATCGGCACCAATAGGTGTTTGACTATTGAACAATAAGGCATGACTATCTATCCTCATTCAACAATTGACACTATACTTTAAAATTATTTCCCATTTCCCACTTACCTACCTGCTTCCAATATATTTTTTCTGATTATTTTGTTACTCTATTCTACATGTAACACTATTCAAATTGAATTATTTGTCTTTGTTAAACCTTGGCTTATGCATTTCTCTAAGTCTAAATTGGCTTTGCCTAATCACATCTACATCAATTCTTATTAATGTACTTCTGATTGTACATTACTGATACCAGTAAAGAAATCATAAAGCTCCCAAAGTGACTAAATAAGACACAATAGTTTAGTGTGTCCTTTTAAGTAATATTTAAAATTAGTTATTTCACAAAAAAAATTCAAATACTCTGATATTACAGGACATTATTAAAGAAATTGGTAGAATTTTCCACAAATTTGACAATAATCAAAAGTATATATCATATCAAATCAGAGAATATACAAAATTCATGTTAGATCCCTAAGCCCTAATATAACTGCATTCTGAGATAGGGCATTTAAGGAAGCAATTAAGGTTAAACAAAGTCATAATACTGGGGCCAAATCTGCTAGAATTGCTATCCTTATATATCAATCTGATGGAACTACTCACTTGTGCTTGTTCTGGTACTCACTGCCTCTCTCTCTCCCTTTCTCAACCTCTCTCTCATTACTATAGAAATGTAGACTTTCGGCCCTCCCTGGTGGCACAGTGGGTTAAAGCACAACACAAAGAAGCTTAAGCCACTTCTGTATGAGATCAATCCCCGCCTGCCCGGAAGGAGATCCACATGGTGAGGCAGACCTCTCCTGACCCGTCCGCTACTCCCCTCAGCAGTGTGCTTCATCCATCTGCCTGTTCTGCTCCCCACTCTGTTCCTGGTGAATCCTCTCACCCTCCACATCTCTGGTCTGTACTCCAGTTCTGAATGAATAAATAAATAAATCTTTGAAAAAAAAATGTAGACTTTCCTATGTAAAACAAGTGAGGGCAGCATCAACGTTTTATCCTTCCTGATTATCAAAACAATGCACAGTTAATGTAGAAAATTTAGAAAATCAGAAGGGTATAAAGATGAACTATATAATCATTCATAATCCCACTACCAAGAATCAGCCACATTTGATATTCTTTCCTATTTTCTTTCAGACATTTCCTATATATTAGCCAATTTGTATTCCTAAAATTATTCTGATAGATAATTTTATAAACTGCTTTTGCATAAATTTTATTTTAGAAAGATTTTCCATTAGAATTTATCTGTAAATATCATTTCTAGTGGTTATGTAATTTTATACTAACACTGTAACTTATTTACCAAATCTACTATTGACAATTAGATTAGTTCTCATGATATACTATTTTTAATTTACAGCTCAAGTACTTAATTCAAAAAGAAACTAAAATGTGAGGCTAGAACCATAATAAAATTGGCTTTCACTAGATCCCATGGTTGGTCCATACGCTATGTACTATTTGAAATTATCAGCAAATTTACCATAATATAGGTTGCAAGCTCAAAGCATTGAAGTTCTTGCTTTAGAAATTACATAATATAGAACTGTGAAATCTCAACTCATGTATTTTTTGTATCACAAGGAAAAAGAGGCTTCACACAGAGTAGGTTTTCTGTATCTTACTAATAAAAACATAAAAATAGTAGTAGAGATTTACAATATTTTGGATACAGGAAGACTTAGGGGAAATGAACTAGTCTCATAGGTGACAGAAGTCCAGGGAAGGTTCCTAGGCGGTATTGGGTTACTAGAAAAATCAGAACACATTTTTTCCCAATATTTTTCAAAGAAAAATATGTCATGATTTTCCAACAACCTAATAAATCCATGTCTGCATTAACCCTACTGATTAATGAAAATTGGGTCTTATTTAGCAAATAGCTTTTAACATATCAAATTAAATACCCACTAAAAGATTTTTCAAAGGAAATATTAAGCTCCTTTAAAAAATGAACACTTTAGGCCCTCCCTGGTGGCGCAGTGGGTTAAAGCACAGCACTGAGAAGCTAAAGCCACTTCCGCATGAGTTCGATCCCCGCCTGCCCCGGAGGTGACCACATGGTGTGGCAGACCTCTCCTGACCAGCCCGCTGCTCCCCTCAGCCGTGTACTTCGTTGATCTGCCTGTTCTGCTCCCCAATCTGTCTCTGGTGAATCCTCTCGCCACCCCTGAGCCTCTGGCCTGTACCCTAGTTCTGTATGCACAAATAAATAAATCTTTAAAAAAAAAATGAATACTTTACCCTAAGAAAGGAATGTGCTATAAAAGAATGAATACAATATATGCCAGCTTGTAAAACTTTTACTAGTTTGTAACATTTGCATTTTCACCCAATAATTCCAGTTCTGGAAATTGATATAGATATTTGTCAGATACAAAAAGTTTCATGCATAAGATTATTTGTTAAGTATTTTTTGCAATAGTGAAATATTAATGATGACATAAATTAGCATAAAGGGCTCTTGTGAAATAATTAATAGTATATCCAAAATTTATAATGCTATACAGATAATAAAAACTAATGAGGGAGCTTTCTGTACTAATATAGCTAGCCACAATGTACTGTTAAGAGCAGAATTCAGAGTTTTAACTTTATGTCACCATTTCTATAATAAAGAGGAAAAAAGCTTTCAAAGCATTATCAAAAAGCTAACATTAACAATTTCTATTTTGGGCAGATAAAGGAAGGAATGAGAGAGGTGGGGAGGAAGATAATAGCTCTGCTTTTGATATCTGAAACATGTAACTCTCAAAAAATAAATGATTCTAGAAACAAATGTTACATTATTCTAAAACCTGTCAGAGATATGTAGTTGTTATCTGGGTGGTATCCATCTAACACTGTTAGGAAACACTTACTCTGACTGATATTTGTTTCACCATGTTCCAGAAAGATGTAGAGCTGAAGAACAAGTTGTGGGCAGCCTTCCAAATAGGTCTCAAACAGCCTAAGCAAGTTCAAATCAGTCACTCTATCTATAACTTCATTGTCGTCATTGCTGAATGTGTCATCTTTGCTGCATTCAAAAGCCACATGATAACCCTTTTTCAAGGCAAACCAATACCTGCAAACAATAACACTTATTTTAATATTTTCTTTGTAACAGGTATATTAATACAGGCATTTTGAGAAAAGCAGCATGTGTTTATGAATAAAATTTCCCAATAACCTTCTTTACTATAAATTTCTGTCAACTTTGTGAGCATCTCATGGTGGCTTTATTATTGAGATTCAGACTCCATAAACTTTAATTGCATGTGATTGCACATCAGCATTATTAAATATACATGATATCATCATCACAAATAATTATATGCGATGAATAGATACTATTCCCATTTCACACATGGGAAAGCTAAGGCAAAAAGAGTAGAATGACTTACTAAAAATTACACAGAGTAAGAGACAGGCTAGAATCCAAACCTACATCTTACAATTACTAGTCTTGAACATGACTTTCTGAAAGATAAACTACAATGTTCAATTCATACAATTTATCTTAACTATAAATGCAGATAAATGTCCTCATGATAATAACAAGGTTGCAAATAAGATTGAATCTTCTTTTAATTTAATCTAGCAATTAGTAGCTACAAGGTGCTACAAGGTTCTTTGATCATTACAATCCTAGAAAATACATAAAATCTTAAAGTGTCTTAAAATATTCCTTGTTCAGTCTATTCTTTGGAAAAGATTTTAAAATGAATAGGACTTACCATTAAGCAAGTAAAATTAAAAACAAAACAATGAAATAAATGTGAAGCAGAATTTCAGCCCAAAGCTTATCATAACTTTACCTGAACCTCAGTTTCTTCATATACAAAATAGGCCCTCCCTGGTGGCATAGCGGGTTAAAGCACA